GAAGTTATATAATACAAAAGGTGGAGTAGGTGAATACCTGAAGTGAATTAATCATAAAAGGTGAATATTTGTGGTAAGAAGTTCTGACGTTGGATAATTTTGTTAAATCTACTTTGTCCGAGAGACACGTAGAGATGCAGGTATCACTGAACCAGAAATCACCATCATTTGTCACAATTTTATATATATTTAAAGCTAATGTTTATTGAAGTAAGGCCCGAATAAGGAATACCTAATTACAAACGAAATTTTTCCTTTATGTGTGTTCTTTTGAAAGGATTGGCAAACACAACAACCGACTTGAGCTCATGAAGCCTTACTCAAAGTCACTGTTTTTAAATGATGACAGCCATATATGTTTGTCATGGGTGTCCATTATTACTACTATTTATTTTTCCTATAGACTAACTACTGAATATAAGGTTGTCTGAATTAAACACCACAAGGATTTCAGTAATACTGAAGAAACAGTTTGTTCACTCAGTTTATGGAGACCATGTGGTACTATTTTAGTGAAGATGCCGACAGAATACAGTGTTCTGTGTGTCCTGAGCAAAAATTTCAAAGCGTTTAGAATCCTGTTTAATGCTGTTAAGAGAGTTCTTTCTTATTTGTTTTGATTTTGATTAGTTTCTTTCTGAGTAGAACATCGGAGTTTGAAATTTCATCAGCTGTGGTGCCACTTTATACGGAGTGAGGTTGCTGGCCTCATTCAAGCATAACCGTCCGTCCTTATAGGGCTTAGGACCGGCTAGGTAAGGTTTAGGTGTGCGTCAGCTGGGGACCAAACTGGAAGCTCTCACGTGATGGCCAAGCATTCTACCACCGGATGTACGATGCACAAACATTATCATGGAGGGAAAGAAAGCATATATCATACAATCCTTTTCGAAGCGTACTGCTCCATTTCGAATCTGGTAACAAAAATTTCAGGGCAACCTATCAGAGCAAATGACAGGCTCATGACAAGCGAAAGATGATGCTAAAAGCTTTATCTGTATTGGTCAAATAAGTTTCACCAACTCTGAATGACCGGCAGCTGATGAAACCTCAGTACGGATAAACAAACCAGTGAATACTTGTCAGCTTGTGTAAACATTGGCACAGTTGAAATACCGAACGTGTCTACTGGCCAGGAGCCGTCTTTCTTTAATATCACAACTGTGACATATGGCCACTAAAAATGGAAATGTAAGAATACAGGTTTTTGAATATTCGTGAATTTGACCAGGTGTTCAGGTCAACTGGAAGAACATAGAAAACATTAATAAAAGAAGTGAGTTAAGCCATAAAGTTGTGAAAATTCATCAGTTAGTTTGATTTGGAATGTATAACTCATACTAAGACACAGTCTTCTTTAGCCAACAAGTTTGGGTAATTTAGAATTATACTAAAATGGACTAAAACTAGTATTAATCTGTGAATTCTGTGACCATCGATTTGAGTCACTTGGGGAGGGGATATCTAGTTGCGTGGCTGAATTTCCTAAAGTATAAGGAATGAATAGTTAGTGGTTACTGGTGGACTGGCTCTAAAGTTTTTACAAAAGTTTTCAAAAGTTTGTTTGTTAGGATTTGATTTGTTTCAAATTTGAACACGGACTAATATGATTTAGACAACCACTGAAAACCGGGGAGTAGTGGATAGTTGTTTAGTCCTAGTTGGAGACTCAGTTGGTACTGAACAAAACAGCTGTCCAGTACATACTGGTTTTCAGTGGTTCTATAACTGATATCGATCCGTGGTCAAACTTGAAACAAATGTTTCCCAGCTTTATCATACTATGCGTTGTATTATTGTGTTATAAATCTTCATCCATTGTAGTATCCTCCAACTTCCGTTCTTTTCGTTTAAGAGTAGCTTTTCGAAGTTCAATATGCAAAACTTATACACCTCTTGCAAGTCTGTGAGTTGATTTTTCAGTCGTATTTAGCAGGGAAACGAATAAGCCATCAACACTTTGGTTTATTATTTAATTCCTAAAGCTCTTTTTCCAAGCAACATAATTTCAAGACTACGGCTTGCTTTAAATGGATTAAATCTGCATCCTGTATGATAACTTAAATTCTCGTGCATTCCGATAATTATAAGCAACGCAAGCTTATTGTGACGCTCGTTTCATTATGGTCATTCTGGATAAAATATCTTTGGAAGTGCCAGTGACTTTTTCAGTTCCACAATTAGTAAGGTTATTAAATTCTCTCTCTGCACAACCTTTAAACAATAAAATATGCATATATGGGGGAAAAACTTTAGTAATTGCTTAGTGTGACTGAAATAAGCGTTTCTGAATGAAAGTGCACATACTGTGATACATAAAGCTACAAGTTTACAAGCACACACTACTGAAAAACAACTCGTTACCAGGTGCGCCCAATGCTATTCATGGATAACTACTGGTTATCTTGGATAAAAAGCATATAAATATATATGCAGTTGATGATAACCCAGTAAAAGCTGATGCAACTGTCGATTTCTGAATCCTAAATATCTTGCAATTTAGTCAGACAAGTGGAAGACGTGACGTCACAGTACACAATGGTCGCCTCTTAGGCTCTAATTCTAACCTACTCTTGTATTTGTCGGCATTTGCTAGATCGCTCTATTCACAAACACAGAACTAGTATTTTCCTTGAAAATTTTGAATTCAAATCAACCAGTACTGAAAGCAAAACGAAACCATAACTTTCTAGTCACTGTGGTTTTTTGACTTTATCTGCCGATAAATCGCAGTCAGTATCAGTATTTTTGAATAAATTTGATTTTGTAACCTAATGAAGTGCTTTTGTGTCAAAAGCAGGTATCAGTTCATTATTTACACTCTTACAAATATGGCTATTCAGCTATATAAACGTGCTGAATGCTTAGCCTTTTGTCCATGGCTATCGTAGCAACAGGACAGGTGTATTTATATAATAAGGGAAACTAGAGGTTGACGGATAAAGCGATCACTCTAGAAATATACACAGAGTGTTAGAATAATCTGCCGGGCGAAATTAATCAGTGAGACGCTTCTTAGTATTCATCAGTATGTCAAGCTCATTTCCTGAGACAGGGCCTAATTCAGAGATCACAAGAAAGTTTATCAGTGAGTGCTAACCAATGCGATTATATGATATTTTTGCACAGTGTGTTGACTAACAACTGCGTTATCTAACCTCTACGCAGCCAGAGTACTTCAACTTATTGAATGATTTTAGACTAACAGCTAAACAGTTCACTCAGCTCCGCAATCAAAAGGTACACAGAACACATTGGAAGAGTGAACCCCATTTCCTGAAGTGGTGCTACCGTCTTTTTCAGTTCTATCAGTAGAAAAGTTACCTTCGCCCTGAAAAACCGCATCTTACTCTACGTTAATAGTGGTCGATAATGGGGGACAGTGAATAAAGAGAAAAAGCAATTTTGAAAAGATAACGGATTAAAAGTCAATGATGCATACGTGGTTCCCTTCGAAGCTGATTGAAATGCTCGGATATTGTGGACCAGTCACTACTTTCCGTTGAGGTTGTTTGAAACTTCCAATTTCATTCTTGACCTTTTGTATTCATAGATGAATGAGATGAGAATAAACAATTGATGGAGACCCGTCTAATCATTAAATTATATTTTCGAAGTATTGCTTCAAGCGGATGGAAGTCTAAACGTTAAATGCAACGAAAGTTGTTCTAATTAGACGTCACATTGTAAATGGAGGTTTGAAAACAAGGTGACATATGGTTTCCGGTTTGCAAACATTTCATCCTCCATAGAAAATCAGCCACCCTGCTGATCCAAAATGTTACAAGATAAAATAAAAGTATAATGATTTTCTCGTAAGTAATACAGCTGGTTAAATAAGAATTCCTACACAATATAACTGATAAAGGAGTTTGGAGCACAATTTAAAGTTTCTTTGCACGTTATTTAATAGTTATTTACCCTCGATCATTTTATGACCGTTTCCTTTTTACAAGTAGGTCTTATACTAATAGGTAATTGTACCTTCTGTTCAACTTAGAAACTCAGCCGTCTAGTAGCTGGTTGATACTATATCAGTGGAGTTCCTTAATCTCATTTAGGCAAGTAAATGTACAATAAATGGTTTCCTTAGAATATGGATGGAATTCTTTTCACGCAAAGAAACATTTATTAGACCATAGTGAATATAAACAAGGAATTTTGTGTGGGGATAACGAAGACAAATTAGGTTCTATTAAGATGAAAGAAAATGAGTGAATGAATACTTTTCAATGAGAAGTTTCCTGGGCAATAGATATAAATTAGTAAAGTAGGAAGTGAAATCTTTGAGTTTTCTACTACTTAGGCAGAATATTGGGTCTTAAAATTCTATTTCTGCTACTGCATGACGTCGCTTCAATAAAATACGAGCTATGGGAGATAACATCCATTACGTAAGCCAAATTCAACTTTCCTAACATGTTCACTGTTATTCTTTCCCTTACTTAGTTAAATCAGTGTTGAATTGATTCTGCATAGTGCAGGAGGAAAGAAACAATAATCAATATAAAATGCATACTACTACTACACAATTCTGTTGCCATGATTACCTTTCTAATCACATATTGACGAAAGTGATACTGGTCAAACTGCATGTTATGATAAATGGAAACCTTTTTGTTATACCATTCCGAATAACATTAATCATATACAACATTTCATGTTCTTAACCTGGTACTCTCTCTCTCTCTCTGAAGTACTTCAGTAATATTTTACACAAAGTATTTCTTATATTCAGAGTAATGTATAACTTATAGGTGCGGTGAATGCGGTGTCGAGTACACTTAATTTTTTATGTATACAACGTTTATTTCCATTGTTATAAGAATATAATACGTAAATGTTTATATGGACATCATTTGTATTAAACAAAGAAAATATAATAACATGTCTTACTTTCGAATGAAATTTTGTTTCGCGCTAATCGGTCATTGAATGCTTTCGTTTGGAAGAAGTTTGCAAAGTGAGAAATATGAACTGGATTTCTACCAGTAATTCTGTCACTTGATAGAATACATATTTGTATGTGTATATGGGTGTACATCTTCCAAATGGAACTACGAATAAATTATTTCGTATTTAGGACATTATTAGTAATACACTTAAACATCTATTATCTGGTAATTACAAAATTATACGCAACCAAACATAATATAAGCGTAATACATAGAATTAAATCAGGTTCTTGGGGAAAACTTCATCTCTAGTGAATACGATCGAGCTGAGAAGTTTCCATATGGTTTTTATTCAAAAATCAAAATATTTAACCTGCTACAGATTATCTCCTTGACATCTCAGATTGGAATAAACATGTCAACTAGTTGGGTGGAGGGTCCCCAAGTGAATGCTTCATTTACCCTTTGTTTGAATAACGCCCAAATCATCTCCACGTTTTTATTTGAACAACACTCATAATGAAATAATTCCATGTAGAATAAATCTTTACAGTAGGTTCCACCGCCCTGGCTCTTTGAATCAAATAACCCTAGACATACTGTTGATGAGTTTACCTACAGTTGTGATGTAGACAGTGTGAAATACTAGTTCACTTTAGTAGTCCATAAGCAGGTGGGTTAGTCAGTGGTATGCATTTCATAGAATGAAATGTCATCTAAAATATCATGAATAAATTTTCTAGTATACGTAACGTAAATCATTTAAAGTCAATTTTATTGGGAAATAATCTGCAATGGGAATCAAAGCTGACAATTGTTGAAACTTTTTTCTTCATTTTCCACACAAATAAACACCAGTCCCTGCATCAGAGTTTCTATTGCCAAAAAAGAAAGCAGAATGATTAGCTTATTATAGTGTCTACAGACCGGACATAGTAATGATTAGTGATGAAGACATTTTAGTAGGACTGATGTCTTTTCTTTGGGTGTCATTCTCTCTCGCCATTCCTCTACTACAAGACACTAAAAACAAAGAGGAAAAGAGGTTATCCTTACAATGAAGGTTTTTTGCTTTGATTTAAGAAAATAAGGACATTTTTGTCAGAGAGTGATTCCACGAAGAGTTTTCTGTCATTTTTTCCATATTTTCCTCTTTCATTTAATCTTCCCTTATTCTGGAGTATCAGAATTCCACGACCACACATATGGTATGCTGATGTGATAAAATCTGCCCTATATTCAATTAGTTTTTTTTTAATCAGCTTTGCGATTGACAGTATCTGCTTCTTGGCCAATAACTAATTTTATTATATTTTTGAGGTGTTTATTATAAGCATTCATGAAGCAGAAAAATTTATAGAGAGAAGGCATGAAACGTATTAGCAGAATATGACAAAATTCTAACAATTCAAAAATATGCATTATGCAATGATGAGTAAACAATACACTTTATGTATCAAGATCATGATATAACAGAATAGGGAGGGATGGGGTTATTTGAATACTTTTAGTCGAATTAGATTCTAATCAAGCTGAACGATAGTGGAAAGGCGTTACCTGAAAAAGTAGAAAGTGAACAAAAGAAGAACTCTCCACAGTTATGCAGTAGAGCAAACTGTATCTCCAGAATAAAGCCTAATGATTTCCTTTTATACTACAGCACCAATAAAATAGAAGGCGTGGGTTTTATTTTATGTGGGATTCCACCGTAGCTTACAAGCCATTTTGGAGTGCTTTCCTACCAGTAAATATTGAAGATTTGTAACAATGAAAGTAAAATTAATACTCAGAAAAACATTTTCTCTCAATTTAATTGAAACAATTAATAGTTCACACTGAGGTATTTAAGGCATCACTACGTCAAACCAGGTGACGATTATGTTTTAATACTGGGCTTCATGTGGAAAAACAAGTAAATAGCAAGGTATACTAACAGTCTCCTCTATCAACTCATTTCTTATTCTTTTAAAACCTAGATTAGTGTTGAGACTACTTATAATTCTTTATCTGAGTTTATTCTGCGATAGTATTGCACAACTCTTAAGCTCAAAACGGAAATTTAGTTGATAACAGACCTTGTGTTAATGATTTTCACGCTATCCACCTGGTTTATTCTTAGGTTACTTACTGATCAATAACCCATTCCAGTTAAACCGCGGAAGATTTTGACAAGGTATTTCACGAATATATAGTGATCAAATCACATTAAATTCCAGAGTAGTTCTATATCCGGCTTGCTTAGTTCATTTAGCAAGGGGCCAGATACAAGCAACTAGTTAGAAACCTGCTTTTCACTTTAGAATTCACAATAATATGGTTTCTAAAGTTCTGTAAAATTCAGTGAATTGAAATCCTAACCGATAGTGATGTAGCTCAGTTAGGCATCAAACAGGTTCATTTGAACATAGAACACAGAACGTCATTGAATTGCCTGTTGGTTGAAAAGAAACACCAGTAACATTTCCCTGTCCTGTGAGCGTCATAGTGAAATTGACTAATCTGATAAAATCATTTCCTTCTCTCGGCTATATTAAACACAGGGATAAGAACATGCTGTATACTGACTACGTCTAACTGTTTTGAGCTCCACTCCTCAAGCAATACCTTAATTAGTTTTTTAAGATACACTGTATTCGAAGCTGAAAGTTCGACTGTTATTTGTGAAAGTGATTTGTTACAGATTTCTCAGAACAGCCATTTAAGAGTACAAATTTGAATAATTTATCTCTATAATGTGAGGGTTGATAATTTTGCAGTCAGTTTTGAGAGTTCCCGTCTTCACGTATTATTATTCACATAGCACACTAAGGTTATCTGTAGTATATGTGCACGCCTACATATTCCTTTTAATCGAGTTGGTCTTTGTATGCCCTAAATACACTACTGTGAAAAACATTTACTCTTCATTAAATCTGAGCAAATAATAACCTTAATTATGTTTACTGTGCTATGAGTGAATGTGTACTGCCAGTTTACCAGTAGACTTCATCTTTCTAGTACTTCAAATCTCCTTCCAATAGGCAAGAAGTCAATAATAATTTTTTTGATTTCCTTTCAGTCCTCATTGAATAAATGTGGGAGGCCGCTGTGTTCTAACAGAGGAAACAGAGGAAACAAGGTGGAAAGCTAAAATACTACACTGATTAGTTAATAGATCGCAAGGGGTGGTTCAAAACTGAATGCTAACCATTGTGCAAGTATAAAACAGCTGATGAAATAAGCAGTTGTCATATCAGTGTTTATGTCGTCTTTCTCAGACGTTTACACATCGAATCACTTCAGAGATGTTTCTTCAAAATCATAAGGATACAGTGGAGCTAACTACAGCATATATTTGGTCAATGATAATTTCTTTAGTTAACCGACCAATTTTAAGGAGTCAGTTTACTGACCATAGTTATAATAATGATTTTTTCATCATTGACTATCCTTCAAACTTTGGCTTCTGTTATGAATTAAATGAAATATTTTGTGGAGAAAATACGCACTACATGGAATGATGCTGAGATATTTAATTTTGAAAAGAAATCAGTATGATGATCCCCAATTTTGCATCAAGATGTATCAGCTTAGTCCTATTAGTAATAAAGAGACAGTAATTCGACTAGCGTTATGTAGCACAGTCTTTCTTTCATTAGTGACCTTCCTAATGGTACATTTAGCTACGGAGATTTAGTAGGTAGTAGTGGAATTGATTTTGCTAGGTGTGTTTGACAGACTCATGTAAAAGCTTGGCTGTTATCCGGGTTGCAAAACTAGGCGTGGTTTAAGAGTGCGTTAGTTGGGAAGCAAATCCGGATTACACGCGGAGTTAGCTAGCATGCTACCAATGGACCAGCGGCTCATAATACAGTCTAAGTGGAGTTATTATTATAAATATCCATGATTACTACTTTTCATTTACATGCATTAAAGATAACGTCTAAATCGACGTTAATGACCTATTTCACACAGAAAATATCAGACAGCGGAAAAGCTACCAAAATATTTAAAAATGGTATTTTTGTTGCGACAGTTTAAATTATACAGAAATACAGTACGTTTCCTTAACATATTTTACTAACTAGTCTAAAAAGCATGAGGATTAGAAATTTCCGAGGGTTTTAAACCATCGTCATTTCTCTTGCAATATACTTCAGAAAAAGTTCAGCAGACCTGTGGTAACCTATACTAATTCAACGTTAAAAGTGAAAGAAGCGAAACTCCCAGTTCATTCAAATATCTATCTAGCCAAATTTAAGAGTGGCATAAAATAAAAAAAGAGTCCTCCGAAAAATTTTAGTTAACAAGAAACTGCCATAAGTGATATTCGACTATTGATAACCTCTGTTGAAACTTTTAATAATAATAATAATAATAATTTGTTTTATTCCAGAAACAGTACTAGTGGTACATTGTGGAATTTTCAGCACAGAACTTCGTACAAATTGGTGATTACTTCTGCGCGTAATCACCAGATTAGTTTTATATCACAGCAACTCAAAATACACACATGAAGAGGTATCCTGTGTATACCACGCGTTGTTGATCTTTAGCACACTCTGAAAGCGATGTGTTTCAACAGACTACATCTACGCGCCATATTTTTAAAAATTGAATCTTAAACTTCTAGGCAGCCTGTACCAATGTATTTTGTGCCAAGTTCTACAATGACTTGACTGTCTACCTTTCCCACCGTCTGTCTATTTTCCACAAGCGAAAACGGAAGGATGGATATTTAGATGCTGTATGATATTTCTTACACGGTTATAAATAAATTATTGTACGAGGCAGTATACATTTGTAACTCAGTTTAACTAGATGATATATAAATACAGATTAGTAAATATTTTTTGTTTTCCTTTTTAATTTATTTAAAAACTTTTCTTTTCTCTTACTTTATTTTCCAGATAAACAAATATATAAATATTATAATACTATCTAGCTCGAAATTTGAAGGAATAATTTTTAAAAAATATACATACATTACTGACTGACTTATCGATCGATTGACATAAGCGTGTATATATGTGCATAAATATGTATATATATCATGTTTAACTTCAAATTGATAGTAGATAGATCACCTGATTTCTGTCAGCAAAAGAAGTCTATCCATAGAGTATAGGCTTGATAAGCAAAAAACGAAAAGAGGCGCAAGAGAGTAGAAAGCACATCGAATAATGAAGAACTGAACACATAGTAAATAAGTAACTCTGTCGGGACGGCATGGGGATATTGCAACTCAATGGAGATATCATCAGTGAAATTTGAATTGATGCTTACTCAACTTACTGATGTTGAAAACTTGTAGGTTTGATTTGTTGGAGGTAGATTGCGTATTGGTTTTGGCTTACCATCAATCATTAAAATCAGTAAGTCAGAATTACTCGACTTTTTATCATCACTGATACTATGAAAATCACTATTATTGTTGACATTAGTATTGTTCATAGTAATATTGCTATGACTAAGTAAATGATTAGAGTAGAGATTCGACTTTGTAATGACTATACCATCCATCTGATTTAAAGTATTATTACGAAAATAGGGCAGTAATTGTGTACTTGTCGTACGATTGGTTAGATAATTATCATTGATATTGTGGTTACTTTTCTGATTACCGTACGGGTATCGTTTATTCTTTTGCATAATATATCTGTCCAGTGTACAATACGATTCTGGATTATCTGATTCAATGTCTGTGAAATCTGTTTGACTACCAATGCTGCGTCGCTTAGACATGTGAGATTTCCTGACTGAATAATACTTTGGGTGATGATGTTTACCATCTGAAGGCTGATAATAACTTTTAGCATTGTTTGATTGCATTAAACTATACAAAGCGTTGAAGTTGTTCGAGTTTATTGATTTATGATCTTTTAAACTTATCACACTGCATCTGCACGCCGCACCACCGTAAATAATCGAGGGATTCGTTGTAATACGTAGACTACTCCATGAACTATGCGTATCATTCATCTGATGATTTTCCGTAATTGTGTTAGTAGTGGTGATCGCCAAGGCTTTAACATTATTAATAGGATTTGTTGTATTACAACTGATATGTGAGAGTAGTTCACTCTTTTCCTTTGATAAACTTGACTTACGATGGCTAAAGAATCCACTGGATATTGAATTTGAGCTTACTTCCTCATCTACTCCTTCTTCATCTTCTTCATCAGCATCCTCATCTTCTGCTGAGGAATTTGGTCGACCACAGACATGAAACATACGCAGTGGTCTTACTGATGTTGCCTTATTTGTCAGTGCAAATTTTTTAAAACGTTTTCTTATACAGTATAATATAATTAAAACAATGATAATAAAACTTATTGTGATGATTGTACACCAGATAATCAATATGATTGATAAAGACAAGGTATGTTTACTCTCTGACTGAATAAACGTCATTGTTTTCAGTTGTTCTATGACTGGAATGTTTGGGACAGTTTCTGATGGTGACTCGTCACCCGTAATTTCCTTTATTTCGTCTTGACTGACTGTATCTTGGTTGGACCGTTCTCCCGGACAGCCGATACCATCTTTAATCAACGGACACGTGTATGGAAATATCATGCTTAATTTGGGTGAAGTTAGCTGTGCATTTGAAGATAATTCGCGTTTACTTGTAAATACTATGACAATCAAATTGTCTACTGCTTTTGTAATACTCCCATTTACACTGCTTTCGTCGTTCTGTACACATTGGTGACATTTTGTGTTTAAATTAAAACTGATCGGTACAGTAATATCCAGAGGGTGCAAACGAATAAATGCGGGTTTATGGGAATCTTCCCTCACACTATCCTCTTCTTCCGGTTGGACATTGCTTTTCACATTATCATCAGGTAGATACAATGGTGTTTGACCACTTTCTATTTCAAATGATCTCAAGTGCTGTAGGTCAATCAGGCTATCTGGATGCATATAAACTGTGTTCAGCAAACGGACATCTGTGACCAACCCACCCAAGCCTTGAAAACACTTAGCGTCTAATCGGACCATATTTAAGTTTATATGCAGTTCTAGCTGGCCACTCCTGGATAATGGTTGGCCAGACCGCGAAGATGCTTCTATTAAATGACCTAATGCACCGGGTATCATTCCACGAACAGATTCTTTATGTCCTAGAATAAGTTCACCTGTTTCGATATTTCTTTCACATGGGATAATCGGTTGCTTTGATGGTGTTGTATCGAATTCTTTCGATATACAATTCACCAGCTCTTGTGTATCATTTTCAATAAAACATTCAATGGGACACTGGTGAATCGAAGAAACGCCCAAATTTGAATATTTTTCATCTAATACATCATCGTTATTGATTGGTTCAGGATGAATTTCAGAGTTATTTGTAATGAAACGTTTTGGATAGTATTCATTTGTGTGACTAAATTCAAATATTACTAGTATTGAAAACAGACTGAAACTGTGTAAGTTGAGATACATTTTAGAATTTGCTGGAACATGTAGGATGTGTTATTTGTGTTCCATGATGGTTATCCAGTTTGAAATTGTAAGCTTCCACTGCTTCATAACTGTCGCATAAAAAGGGACTGTACACTAATGCTAGAAATGAATTGTTGTCGTCATCGTTGTTATTTTTAAGTTGGTGGGTATTAATTTGAAAATATTAAGTACATGGTTGTACAGGTAAGACTGAATTCTCTGTTGCAATTGGTTAATTTCTCTTAACCAATCAAGTATTTATGACCTTGTGATGGACGAATACTATTATTAGTCAGGCATGGAGGTGAACAATTGGTGTTTGCCTAAAACGTCTAAAAGTATTCATAAATATATTATCTGAAATGAACTGACAAAACAGTGTTGAAGAAAATCTGTATATAGTTCTCTTTACTTCTGAAAGAAATTAATTGTGTAGCGTTCACTTAGACCAAAAAGTTAATTACTTTGGTCCTACTCACTCTTAAGTAAGTTTTCTAATGCTCCCTGAATACTTTGCGTCATCTGTAGCATGAAAACTACACTTTTTCTAGGTGGAAAAGTTTTAAGTGTTTTGAAGTCCCATTTCACTGTTGACTAGGTAACTTCTACAAATGGAAGGACGTTATATGACCAGTATACGCGTATACCAAGTATGTTGTGTGAAGAGAATTACAAGATAGTCTGTATATCTTATGATTTGTTCAGGAATTCACTCAAAACGTCGCCATTTCAGTCGTATTTTACTTCATATGGGCGATTGCTGGTAAAATCAGCATGGAAATGAACTTGTCCATCAGTGTGGAGTTGCAGAATAGAAGGCAAAAGCAATATTGCAAATCCTCTTGCTTTCTGGATAGTACTGAGATGAAATGCGTTTTTGGTTTGAGTTCCTGTGAAAGAAAATTTCTTTTAGTAACACATTCATTAGTTTCAGACACCAAAAACTGAAACAGCCCTTAAGTTTCAATGCATAGATTTGGCCTTTTCACTCCATCCTTATTGTGTTCTTTGAAATTCAACAACTTTTTGGAAACTTCACACTATGAAATCAGTCGGTAGGAATGATGTCTTTGTACACGTGTTTAAAAAAATCTACACATGTGACAGTAAGAAAAATATCAGTTTATGAAACATCTTAAAGCAGTTCTGTTTCACTAATTAAGGGATGAGGAAACTTTGGTGGACATCTCATTAACTCACTGTAACTTATGTTAAGTTATTTATGAGAAGCTGTCCAGTTTGGCTGACAAACAGGCAATTCTGACCATGTACTGTACACATTTTTTCGCATCCTATACTTTACTGTACAATGAGTCACACTGATTTTAGGTGTAAAATAAATTTTCACTAGTAAAGAATAATGTAACTCTGCTAGATAATCACTTCTTCATGAATTGTACATCAGATTACATTATCATATTTCTTGCTAACAAAGTTGTTGTCCCTTAGGCAAATGTCACTATACAATGTAACTTTGCATTATGTAAATATATACTGAACATAAAAAGGGAAGCACTGATTGGGTTAACTTGTACTTTTAGGGTTATCTTCCGTCTCTTCCGAGTGTGAACGCTTTTCGTAACGATTTCTTTTTTTGTATGGCAAAATTTGTCAGAAATTCACTCATATTATAGTCTTATTTAAAATAGGGGAGGTGTTACAACGAACCTGTAGATGGGGGTTATGAGAAATGACGTATTTCAATCAAATGTGTAGCAAAACATCCATTAATCAGAAAACTATTAAAAACACCGCTTTGGTTCTAGGTTCGGACCTGTGGTAGTACACATGTATGGTCCAGTGAGAAGTTGAGTTTGGAAATTGTTGGAGAAGTTGACAAATATCTGCTGTGTGAAAATCTAACCTTTGTAACTTGTTCCCACTGTACATAAATATTTCATAATTGCTAATTAATAAGTCACCTAGAGTGTTTAAATGTTTTAAAGCAATAATTTCACTGACAGAAAATCTCATTGAGTAAATTTCAAATCTAGCCTTCAGGTAAGTTACTCATGTGGTCAATAGAACCTGTAAAAGTTGCTGGTTTGTATACTTTTCCCCTCAACTGGAAAAATCATTTTAGTAATTCAGGAACAACTGGTAAATAAAGAATATTTCAAATAGTCAAATTATGGCAGTTAAATATACTGCAGATGGAGACTAACATGAAGACCTGAACCTCGGTTTCCTGCTTATCGGCACTTAAATGCACCATCTTCAGTTTCAAATCTATGCTAATGTGCCACTGGGGTATCGATTCATTCCCTGTATTTTACCTATTTCTGTCTTAGACAATCTTTATTCATAGTCTGCAGTATATACACGAGATTTATCTTGTAAGACTTTCGGGGTGAAAAAAAACAAGTCGTTCCAATTATGCGGCTACACAGAAACTAGACTGTGTTAATATTTTAAAAGCTAAATTATAATTCTCCTTCAAATTCGATCAAATTGCAAGTTTCTAAAAGTCAGCCGTACAAAAAATGAGTTGCACTTCATGCAATTCAATAATGACTTCGTTCTTGTGGATCTTGAAGTCTGGGAGACACCCATTCCTTTTAAGCCTTCTAAGAAGCACATAACCCAGATTATATTTCTAGTGCATATTGTGTCTTCCATCATAACACTAAAAATCTTTGTGGGTTTAATTGACTTCTTACAGTTGAAATACACAATATTTTTTACCAGTAACCGAAATGACGCTGAGATTTGTCATTGCAGCCTAAATGACGTACTTAATACTCATAAATGCATAATTATCGCAAGATACACTTTGTCATTTGAAAGATAATAGAACGGAAAGCCTTAAAACTATTCCAGAAGAAATACTTAAGAGCCTGTCTGACAACTCAAGTGACATTATTATTCCTCTCATTTGAGGAAATATGAACAGTTTAGAGCGCTGAGGCGAAGATAAAAACTGTGGTATTTGTGCAAAATGAGGCATTTCAAATAAAATCTCAGGAGATATAAAACGCTAACTGAGACCTCCTGAATACGTGACATTAAAAGCTTGTAGACATTTGTATGGTACTTGAAGCCAGACGACGAACCACAAATGGTAAGAAACTCTCCTCCTGAAATTTAATTCTTTTTTATTATACCTTGAAACCACACAGTATTTTTGGTACAAGTATGGAATTTTCAGCACGTGCTATAGGTAGCCCAAATTTTGCAGGCTGACCAATGATATTAGGTGTGTGTCGGCAGGGGATCGAACCTCGGACCATGTGCATGGTTGGCGAGATTCCTAACCGCTGTGCCGCCAACGCACATGATCTTAGCTCAGAGAGCCGAAGAGCAACCGCTAACCACCACCAACCAAGAACCTGTCTTCAGTCAGTTTCAATAAATGTGCATAAATATTCAGTATCGTCAAACTGAGAGGACCTATGATATTATGAAATATACCGAAATGGTAAATTAACTAGAAAGCACTTTCAAAGTAACTTTCTAAATTTACCTATTGTTGAAACAGGTAGGTGTCAGGTTTATAACACTGAAATTACTTAGGTATTTTTGGACTTTCTAAAGGCTTGCTTAGTTGTGCATTTTATACCATAATAGTTTCAAACGGTTCCAAGATGAATCTATGTCTACTCATAGACACAAAGGCTTAAATTTGATCTACTAATTTTCTACCAAAATAAAGAAAACAAAGTCTGAAGACTAGAATTTGTATCAGAAGAGTAGAAGAGAAGAATGAATAAGTGAATCCACTGAAACAATCCATTATATTCTATGCAACCAAGTGAAGCCGCTAAAGCATTTTCCACTGATAGACTGCTACACGGTAATACACACTCTCTGAGTTGTATGAATACAGCTCAAAGTAGCAATAATGAAGTTTTATTTAACCTGCATTAATAATAGATCAGCAGGAATATAGAAACACAACCTAAAACAAATTTGTTTGCTTGTAAACTGAACTGCCTCGGCATTGATTATTTTTAAATCTATGGTTTCGTGAGTTCATTTCTCTAAAAATGTGAAGTGTAAAAATAGAAAAAGACAACAGAAAACATACACTTTTGTGTGAACGGTACACAGTATGGTTTCCACTTTTTGAATATATCATATTACTCACTGCATTTAATTGAATAGATCGTCATTGCTTTTTTTGTTTTGTTCTTTTTGCAGCATAGAATACAACCACTTCAGAAAGTGGAGGTAAACTTTATAAAGTAAACTGATTGTTTCACTCCAACTGCACATGAACTTATAACTGTACTCAATTCACAAATTCACAAAAAACGTGAGACTGTTGGAGGCATTAAGAAGATCTCACCGAAGAGATTAGCATTCTCGCCCTATTTGTTGTTGCTTTTACATCTATTGGTAAATGGTATGCAATACTGTGTTATTATTATGTTTATTTATCCGTTGAGTTCCGAGTGAAACATAAGGTTTCAATAGCACATCAGTATTTCACTCCGTTCTCTGTAGTCTCTCCGACCTGGCTGAAAGATTGCCCACAAGCTTTCCTTTCCTCTCCACATGACCTCCTCCAAGTTACATACAGACGCCTAGCTCCGTCCATTCATGTTCCTCTCAACGACCTATCATTTGATGTCACTTGAATGTCTTTTCAGAGTATGTCCAGCCGATTTTCTTCTACATATTCGTTGGTCCATAAGTTCTTGGCTGACTGGGATGTTTTTCCTTGTGCTAGGTGCTGTAGGTCTCTATTTTCCTCCCCATTCAATCCTGGCCGGCTATGACATTCTAATTCCCGTCGCCTACTCGCAGCTGGAACGATACCATCTATCCTGGTAAGTGAATCAGACGACTTTCCTTGGATTGTTGGTTGTGTAACTTCGTGATCTCTCTATCGTCTCTGTGTTCACCTTTGCCTTTTCTTAAAATGTTTTAGTTTCTGCTAGTAAATCTTTGAGTTTGTGCGATACGAGATATAAATTGTTGACGAACCCCGGATCTTCTAGAGTCAACAGGGCCGTTTAAGTTCATAAGAACGAAGCCTTGTAGATTATGATAAACAGTAATGAAATAACAGTGGTAG